CCCCCTGCCCGCATTGCTGCCTCGCTAGCAGCCTCCTCCCTGGCACCCTGTGCCTTCCTCCAAGGGGCCCCGCAGGTAGCACCCTGCGCTGAGCTTGCTTGAACTTGAGCTTCAGCTCGAACTTGTCTGGGCACCACCTGCACCCCTCCTTTCCCCTGCTGTCGGCATCATCGCAAGGGAAGCAGTCAATGCTGGTTGGCTTTGACCTGCCCCAGGGGTAAATCGTCACCCTCACCGGCCTCTTCCCCGTGCTGTATCCCTGAGCTCCCAGCCGGAGCGCCTCCTCTGCCTGGTTTCCACACAGGCTAAAGCAGCCATGGAAGATGGAGCTTCCCCACCACCCTGATCTCTTGGCCCATCTCAGCCACTGCGTCATTGGGCCACGACCCTCCGCTGTGGATCCAGACAAAACGGCTCTGACCTAGGGAAGCTCAGGCTTAAAAGCCCTCTTCCTAGCCCTCTACGCCAAGTACAATTTTTGCTTGAGCCCCTTTCCCAGATCAGGACAGCAACCAAGGGTGAGCACCCTCTTTCCTATCATCTCAGTCTAATCCCTGCATATTCCATCTCCTAATCAATGAATGTATTTGTGGTCAGGACATCACCAACTGTGGAGTCCCCAGTCCTTGCCCACCTTTGTTCCAAGAATCTGCTACACTATGCTGAACTGAGCCAAGCTGTGCTTATTTCATCAAAGCAACACGATTTTAATTCTACTTTGAAATTCCTTCTTCCAACTAGAAAGGTGTAGATTCAGGATACTTTGTCTTTAGGACTGACAAGTTATCTGCCATATAAATTCAGGAAATTTTGGCAATTTTCCGTCACTAGTTACTTCTCACTTTCTAGTGACCTTTCTCTAAATGCTTCTTACATAGCTACCAACATCACTACTTCTAAAATGTAACCACAGGTAGGACTTCACTTCTCCAAAAAAGAGAAGAGATACTGCTCCGAAGTTATGTACCTGAAGGAAAGCTTAAAAATCAAATGCTGTGGTGAATATATTATATTTAGGGAAGAACTTAAATTAGGCTCGGAAATATGCAGCTATTCGTTCTCCCCATTTATGCGATCCCTTTGTTGTCACGCTCCTCCAGGACGGTTCCCAGATCCACAGTTCAGTAGCAAATGTTGCTATTTGTTCTAAATCCCTCTTATCTTCAATTCAACTTTTTACTATTTTTTTTTTTTTAAACACCCATTTGTATCTCTGGTTTTATCCATCCCCTAATAACGCTTTTTTTTCTATCAGTCTGTACCTTTCAAAAACTCTTGCAATAAATGCCATGTCTTTGGCCACTTTCATTCTTTTACGTTTTTAATTTGCCTGCTACAATTATTTGTAGCCACAAGCAAATCAGAATCACTTGCAGTATGGCTCAGCTGTGGAGCTCAATGGCCCCAAGACTGAGGTTCCTTGGAAAGAGAGTTAGCTCCCCACGTTCAGCTTTGGACTCCCACCTCCCTCCCGCCCTGCCCAGCTGCTAACGTTTGGAAATATGCAGAGATTACAAATATTTCACTTGCGTCATGCGCTCCGTAATTTAAGAAGCAGAAGTGCTTCGTAATAACTACAATTGATAAAACATGAACTTGTGCTTTTTTAATAAAATGAAACAAAAGCATTCTAAATCATAGCAGCTTATAGATCAAAACTGTCCATCGGTTAGGAGCATCATTACGAAGTATGAAAACTGCAAAATATTAAAGCCCTGCAGCAATTCAAATCCATGACAAAACCTTCAAGCAGAGTGAGCAATACTGCCTGATGCTTGACTGATTTGGTCTACCTGTTCATTGGTGAAACAGGAATTTTCTTCCCTGGTAATGGCATATCCTCTTTTCCAAAGGGGAGGAAAGGTACAAAGCCCTTTTGATTAGCACACAGTAGCTCTTTCCCGAGTTATCAATACTCTTTTACAGCACTGAGAAACGAGGACTTTTTGTTTACCGTTAGTTGAGGTAAGTTATCTTACTTTTATTTGGGTTTAAGACTACTGTAAAGGAGTAGCTTTTCAGTTGCAGCATGGTTTGTCAAGATTACAATATTTATGACTGCATAAAATACATTAAGTAGAAAAATTATGATTTGTAGAGTTTGTTATCAAGAGCTGAGACTTACATCTTTACAGAACTGCAAATACTGGCTTCCTAACTGCTAGTTGATAATTTTGCTGGCAAGAGCATTTGTTATACTTTTCTTTAATCTCTATACCCTTTTGTCCAACTGTTGTAAGAACTAGCAAGAAAGTCATAACTATGGTTAAACTGTTGTAACAGCGTTAGACAAGCTGTACTGATTCTTCATTAAAATACCCTTCGTTTGAAGCTACAAATGTAAGAGGTGATTATTTTTGTTCAAAAGAAACTATCAGCATGCTCTGTGCCTTTAACACTTCACATTGATTACAAAAAATTTAACAATGCAATCACTAACATACCCCACTAATGAGAAATTATGAGAAATTGTTTGATGCAGTATCTCCTGCATCAGTCAACTCTGATCGATAAGAAAGCTATCAATTTTGAAATTTAGGTTTAATGCATTTTCAAGACGCTAATGAGAAAGGAGCAACTTAAAATAAATACCACCATTAAAACTGCAAACTGTTACAATGATATATTATAAACTTGCCCTAAATAAACCTAGTGCTTCAGAAATTTACCAGTGAATTCGTATTACAAAATATGTGAAAATACAATAGAATACCACAAAACAACGTCCTTTTTTGGGGTCAACAATGACGCCAAGATGATTCACTCTTAACTTTTTAAATTGTTAATAGAACATATTGTAATATGTAAGTCGCAATTTGGTTGAATTCTAGAGAATATCCCCACCCAAACTCAAATTCACCTTTTTCATTCCTCCTCTAAAACTAGTGCCAAACTTCTGTCAAAGCTGGTATTTTCTTGAAGAGCTTTAAAGTTTAGCCGTTACTTATTGTCTACTACTACATTTTGGCAGCAACTATTTATTGGTCTGTTATTGCAAAAAGTGCAATTTAACAATAAACCAGTCTGAAGGTCATTTTATGTCTTGAGGATACATACCATATATTTCTTTAAAAATAATCATACTTTTGTAAGCAATACTTTACAGTAGACACCTCAAATCTACCATAGATGTAAAACTTAAAACGAGAAAAATTTAGTCTCTAAATCTTTATACACATATTTATATTCGAGTTTCTATATATATTATATATATACACAAGCACAAGAGTATATATAAAATATATATAATCAGATTCAAAAAAGAACAAAAACTGGGCACTGTACATAAAATCTTTTTAAAACTCAAACAATAGAAAAACTTTAAACATTAAACAATTTTAATAAAAGTTTCTGTACAATGCTAAGCAGTTTTATTTACATATAGAAAATGTAATAGGAGTAGTGTTTGAAATTACAGAACTCCTTAAAATTTCATGGCAGGTAATCTGGAAAAAATAACAGCATTCCATTCACAAATATTTTCAAGCAATAAATATGTATTTATAAATAGTGTAAATTTACATCAAGATTAGAAACAAAAATCACAAATCTGAAGTTTATTCCTTAGTCTATGTGCAACCCATTTATCTTTGTGACTTGGCTGTTAATTGTTTTAAATTTTATTTAGGAACCAAAAGTGTAACCGTCATGGTTTCAAAACAAGACAGAAAAACATAAAAGCAGTAAAAAATTTATATCACCTAACTCTTCACATTAAAAAAAAAAAAAAAAAAAAAGTTGCCCAAAGAAAGACTTAAAATTTCTAACTACCTTACAAAGAAATGACCAGCTAAGCTAGTACTTTTTCCAAGGGAAATTCTGAAGGGGAAAAATGGATGAAACCAACTCATCAGCCCAGAAACAGAGAAATACAAAAGAGGTGGTCTTCAAGTCAGTAGTCTGTATAATGTTGCCAGTTTTGTCAGATATATACAAAACATGGAATTATTTTTTTGAAGTACAGCTGGATGAGCTTTATTTGTTTTGAGTTCTGGAGTAGGAGGCAGTGCTCTCTCCTGTCCAGTTGGTTGACACTCCGCACTTGGAAGGTTGCATAGACACAGCTTTCAGCCAGCAGCCTTACGGGATAGCTACAAAAATCAGTGGTGCAGAACTGGGTCACTTCCTGAATATCAGAAAAGTTTTCATTTAATGTCCATGAAAAAATGTCAAGATGAGGAGGATGGCAATGGAGGAGCCTGAAAAAGAAAACATTAAATTACCTTTTCTACAAGGGTGTAAAGCTCAGTTGTTTAACCAAGACCTGCACAAATTGTAACCATGAGAGTTCAAAGTCACACGCACTACTGTTTTTACACTTCAGGACTCTTTCAAGTGGATACTGGCATTTTTTTCCAACTTACTCAAATACAGTGCATATTTCAGGACTACGCTGCATTAGGATTTTGCCTATACTGCAGACTGGAGTGTGCTGTGGGGATGTCTGTTAATATGATGTGAGCTGCCAAAACAAGTCCCATTGTGGCAGCAAAGAGCTCCATGTGGGCTCAGTATAGATATATCTTTATATACTCTAAAACAGGGATTCTCAACCTGTTTACCAATGGGGGTCGGGGGGAGGGTGTGCGTTTGTGACTCTCCAAATGCCTTGCAGGCTTCATTTTTTTTCCCCTCTACCTAAACAATAACATATAACTCTGAAGTTAGGGTATCTGTGGAAAGGGTCTCAGATTCTCTGACATGGGGACAAAGTAGTTGTTTTTTTTACCTTTTTTTGTTGTGTCGTGCCGCCCCCCCCCCCCAAAGACAATACCTGAGTGCCTCAAGAGTGAAGTAAGCTAGGTGCCTTCTTCCTGCCTGCTTTCAGGAGACAAGGTCTAGAAGATACCTAACTATTGCCCAATATTGCACACTATGGCACTACCATCAAAATACTGAATCTCTGATGGCATTTCCTTCTCATCAGTCCTGTCAGGATGTGGAATCCCTTCAAGAAGCAGCTCACAGTCTTTAAAGACACTTTAAATCATACCATAGTACCCACCTATGAAACACTACCACTAGCTGACCCCCATGGCTGCTCCCAGTACTTTACCCCAAACACAGAACTTCTCTGTTAGGCCTATTGCACCTTTGCCATCTGAGATTATCTTCGTCCTGTAACTTGCAACAAACCTCAACTCTTCTCCCAGATCTGAGAGATGTCACTTTTAGGCTATGACTCTCCTCAACCGAGACTGTATCCCCTTTAAAAGACACCAATGTGCACACCAATTTCACAAGAGAACAATTATTAACGCCCCTTAGGGCTGCAAATACAGGCTTTTGTGGGTGAGGGAGCTACTCACAGGTTGAGAACCCTTGTTCTAGGTCATCACTGTTACCTATATAATGTTATAACCACAGACAACAAAACACCCCTCCCTCCCCCCTCTTTTCCATACAGAAATGTTCTTGCCCATTTCCACTCAACTGGATGACGTATCTGAGAACAGGTGTTTATTTAAATGCTTTTCTATAACAGATCATCACTTCAAAATTGCAGTATTTCACAAACTATAACGACAATGGTCTCCTAGAAGTATGAATTGAAGTTCAACCACCTCAGGCTCTGTAGGACCAATGAAGAGAATTAAATGCAGAGGACATGGTCCTGCACTCTCAACAGCCTCTACCGCTGAACCTTGAGGCCTTAGCTCAAAAGGTCACAACTTATCATGCTAGCATTACATGAAATAATTGTCTAAACATACATTTTCTGCAGCACCTGGAAATGAATCAAAAGGCACAGCCGTTTCTGGGCTGTTGTATTTAATTCAACATGAAATTCTCATAATGCTTTGTCCAAAGTTTGTCTCCCTTGACAGAAAGGCAAGGCTTATAAATAAATCCAGCATCACTTTCATTGTGATTACAAACAAGCCATCTTTGCCTGAAACAATGAAACCTGGGTGAAACGTTAGGACAGTTGTGCTGACACAGTTCAAAGCAGGAGGCTGCCATATATAGCACAAAGCTATAATGGCAAAGAGGCTTTTTGCTTTAAATTGAAATGCAAAGGAGGCCCCAAGCCAAAAGACAGAACTGTTTGAGAGCATCCACTTGCTAAGCAGAAGGACAGTGCTGATTTGGGAGGGGGACGGGTAGGGAAGGGGAAGGAAGGGGTCTGAGTGCATAGGATGCTCTGCTGCTATACTGACTTCATACCACAACCAATGTATTAGAGATGCTCTTGAACCTGGTGCTAGTTTCTCCAAGCTTCACTGTCCTGATTCTTCCCATCTCCATCTGATCCAGTTATGGTCTTCAGGTGATCTCTATTGGATTTTTAAAGCCACAACTTTATGAATTGTAACATCATACTTTTCCTGAAAACTCAGCGGTTATGTTCTGCAGTAAGTTACTGTACTATTTCACATAATTCTGACTCTTCAGCGTTTTGTTCTGTAAATATCACACACAACCCGTACCTCCATTTGAATCAGAAAGTCCACGGTACTCATACAATGGAGTACCAAGACAGTCTACAACTGCTTTACAAATAATGTATTTATGCACCCACTTATTAATTTGACTTACTAATGTAAATTGATCATAGACTTGCATCAAGTCCTCCATTTTGTACTGTTCTAGCACCACAAAATTTTCCAGGTTCGTGCTTATCTTTCGTGCACAGTCTTGGCAATGTACAACATAGGTCTTTCGAGAATTGCTCTCACTAGTGACAAAAAGCAGATCAAAGACTTCCACCTATTAGATAGGAAACAGAAAGTCAACTGTTACAATTTCATTTTTTGAAAGTTAAACCATGAAAACTGTATTTTCTTTAAGATTTACACCCTTACCCTGTCCATGCAAAGAGAAAAATTAGATTTGTTCAGGGAAAATCTATCCTCCGCTCAGGCAGAGAAGTGAAATATTGTAAAACCACTAACATTACACTTACGATGTCTGCATGAACAGTGCTATGGGAAAGCTTTTGGTCAATATTAACAAAGTAGGATTCATACTCTGAATAGGGGTTACTCAGTAAGGTGGGGATTTATAACAATTATACCTAATTTTCCTTTTTTAAATTTGTCTGCAAAAGAAGTTTGTGATTTATTTCCTTACTACTCAGCCACATGCTCATCCTGCCCAAGAGGCTCAGTCAGAAAATAACTAGAAACTGATTATCAGGGGGTAGGAAAATTTTATTTTCTTTTAAGCTTCATGAAAACTATTATCCAATACTTTAAAGGAACTATTAACAGAAAGTAGAATAAAAAATTTCAGCAAAAAGATAAGTCCCTGTGAAGAAAATGTACTTAAATTCTCTCTCTTTTGGGGCTGTTGTTGACTTCTGAAATGAAGACAGATACACCTTTAAAATGAAGCCCAGCAGATCAAATTACGTGCAGGAAAGGAGAACAACTTTTTATAATAACTGAGAATTGAAAATTGACCTAGTGAATAACAATGCTGTGGAAGTACTGTGGAAGAGACTGCAGCAAAATACAGCCTATCAGCTTGATAAGCTCTTTGAAGACAGTACTGCATCACATATATGTGCTTATAGCATATGGTAGATGCTGCAACTTGAAAGCAAAATTAAAATAGCAACAACAACGAAAGACAGGACAAAATTCAAATAAATATTACAGTAGTACACAAGCTCAACACACATTTTTACTGACCTCACAAATGCTACAGTAATGAGCTGGCTCGTCCTTTGCTCGCCCATGCCAGACAATCTCTTTTCCTGCAGCAATCAGAGCTTCCCTCAGAGTCTGACACTGTTTGAGAGTTCTTAACAGGCAGTACCTGCAACCAAAACCAGGCGTATATTCAGTTTGATATTCAACTTTATAGCGAGATTCCAGTAGGCTTAAATTTCTTCCACGACCCTGTACCTGTACCTGGAGCTTTCTCTTTCTCTGGGATTTCAGAAACAGGTGGCTAGTAAGAATCACTGGACCCATGACTTACACAGAAGTTGGGACCACATGCTTATGGACCTTGTGTAGATCTATTCTGTTTCAGTACTGCCCCTTGCCCTGCAAACAGGCTGTATCTTTCATTTTTCACTGGAATGCATGAATACTCTTTTAAGCACAATAAAACAATGTGTTTTCAAAAGCAATTCATGTATTTTATTTTGAACTATGAATTTATCAGCAAAGAGTTAGTTTGAAATGCCACGTTCAAAACAACTGTTTACATTTTGTGTGACTACAGCCTATCCAAAGAACTGTTGTAACTAACAACCTAACAACCCTGTTACTTCCTCAACACTACTAAACTTTCAGTTATCCAAAGTCTGGAAAAGTTCTGACAGGTATCACTCTGCACACAGTGGAAATGAAATCTATCAACAAGTATCTTCTTCCGTGTAAGAGGAAAAAGAATAGACAGGTTGGTATTAGGAAAGGAAGTCCCTTCACGGCGAAAATAATTAACATTGGGAAAAAAAAAAAAATTCAAAACTTATTTCATGAATGAAGACAAGAACTGGTCAAATGTCAAATTAAAATCAGTAATTCCCTGCCATACTTCTGTAAAGGATAAAAATAAAATAATTTTATCTTCACTATTTTATACAGTGCTCTCTTCTGTACTAGAAAATCTAACTTGTTTTCTGTCATTGTATGAGCTACATATGTTCTCTAAAAAAAAGCTTGCAAAATAGGTTGCCAGATTTCTAAATTACAATGTTATTTACAATAATTTTTAGCTCTCAGCTATCCTATTTATTTGAGCTGCAGCCTTTGCAGCCTTTAATTTTCTCCTCCACAGGGTGGTTACGTTACATGCTCGTTAGATGCAGAAGGAAGATTGAAAAAATGTAAGGGGAAGAATAAACATTGGACAGAAAACAAAGTGCTCAAGAGTTCTATCAAAATGTTTTCAACCTGATCCTTCTCCCATTTTAAAGCCTTAAACATGTAATATATATGTTCTGTATTTTTTAAAAAAGTGTTTCTTTCATGTGTTTCCAAGCAGTTAATAAAATCTTAGGCTTACTTTGAGATACTCTCCTCTTGATGTTTGACACTCAGACTGTTCATCTTCACTAAAAACAAGTTTATGGCTTCATTAACACCCTCACTGTAAGAATAATGCAAAACTGAAAAGTGTGTTTCTATGTTAAACACTCTATTTTCATACACTGAATTTCAAGAAAATTAAACAGCTCATTTAGCTGTAACTCCTTCAACACTTTCCAAGTTTGATGTTAATGGGACTTACGATGCTAAGGCCAACCATATGCGATAGATCATGTATTAATTCACTTGAGTGTCGGGCTAACGTAGACGTGCTTCTGACAAGTTCATAACTTTGGTATAACATTCTTTTATGCAATTCAGCCTGATTTCAAATAAACCTAAAAGCTACCATTCTTCTCTTCTCTGCTGCTGTTAACTGGAAAAATCTTTGGGTATGCCAAAGAGCAACTGGAAACACATCTGCACACTTGCCACCATTATTCTCCGCTCTTGACTTCCAAAGAGTTTTCAAAGTGTTATTTCAAAGAGTCTTCTAGTATTACAATTGTGAAGAAAGAATCGCCCAAAATGTAACCCACATATAAGACCACTGCAATGTTTGCCAAATTTGCAATCAAAGCCAAAAACAATAGCTAGAAGGTGAATTCCCCCTCCTTGGATAAAATTGAGATCCTAGTAATGGCACTTGAAAACTTAAATCTTAAGTATTTCATGCTGTCAAAGAATGGGAGAAAGTGTATGAACTATCACTTTGGAAATGCACCATAATTTCCTGAAGTATGGGCTAAGAAAGCCAAAAAGGTGTCTAGCAGAGTCGCAATGTTAAGTTAAACAGTGTTAGCTTTTGGTATTGTAGGCCTGCTTTTATTCTTGTACAGTGAGAATTCAGTTAAAAGAAAATCTGGACCATATCTCTCAAATTCTTTACACGTATGGCATAAAGAGTATGAGTAAATCATGTCCACTCAAATTCAAATATTTAAGAGAAGACTTAAAATGGACATCTTCCTGATTTATTCTAGAAGGGCAGTGAGAAACCTGTTTAAGTATTTAGATATCCAGTAAAACTTTTCAAAGTGCGGAGACCATCCCAATGGCAATGCAAAACTGACCTCTTTGTATCTTTCAGTAATGTATCTTCCCTACTGGTACCAAAACGTATTTTATCTGGCTTCATGATTTTGTGCAAAATCATTTCCCCCGTGTCATGTTCTTTTATGTTTCTAAAACTATTTTTGTAAAAGAACTTAGTATTTCAGTTACTTTGGAATTAATTTTTTAAGCCTTTATTACTATGTTCCCACTACCTCTAAAATTCTTCTCTTCCTCAGACGCATTTGCAAAAGTCCTTCTAGCTTCCATCTAAGAGTTTTGAGGTTAATTTTTCTTTTCTTGAGGGTTGTACTCCCTCAGTCAAGTTTTAAATCATTCTGTCTGCCTGTGTTCCTGCTCATGTTTCTACTGTTAATACCGAATCTTTAAAAAACATTTCGTGAGAAAGTTTCAGTTTTTGCTCTTTGTCTTTTATCTAGCAAGACAGCACTGAGTTGCACATTAACTAAAAATATAAGGAGGCTTCAGATTTCTTCCAAAAGCAAAGTTTCCTTCTATTATTTTTTCCCCGACTGCTATTCTATTTCTTTTAATCATTAATCTGGTTCCCAATACTTATATGTATGCTTAAATTCTAGTTTATTGCCTATGTAGTGGTTACTCTCACATAACCCAGTAAGACATATTTGTATTTATCTTTCAAACTGGAATTACAAACTACTTTTTACAATTTTCCAAGACCTATTCTTTTGTACTATTCTGATACCTAAGAAGCCCCAAAGACAGAAGTCGAACTACCTAAACACTTCAGGTATCTTTGACGTGCAATTTTAGATACAGACCTGCATTTTGGCAAAAAAACGACAGCTGTGTCAGTGATACAGTTTTTTTTCCTGATGACAAATGAAAAGTCGGCTATTCAAGATGAGATTCAACCAGCCGTATCACTGGTTTCTCAAGTGTTTTTATACACATGCATACACACATACACATATATAAACACACAAACGTCTATATTTTGTACATAATAAACTCCAGGAGCAGTGGACAATAGCTACTTGCCAGCTGGTGCTGTTGTCCTGCAGACAAGCAGTCCACAGGAAAAGTATACAATTGCTTTCCTATCTTAAGGAGTTTCATGAAGGTTTCCGCATTTCCAGTATGCTTACAAAGCCAAGGTTGCATACCTGACTGTTTATTGTGGTGGCACCCATTTCTAGTAACAGCTCTACCGTAACTATAGAAGTGACCACAGTGAAGAGTTATCTCAGTTTACTGCTACTAGATGTTACAAACCAGAGCTCATTATTGGATCTTCTTCCCCTCTGCACACATAGCATGGAACTTAGCATTTGGCTGACAACTAACTTGGATAGAGAGTTTAATCTAAGTAAGCTGGAAGTGATTTCAGTAGACTGGAAAAAGCAAATGCATGCAAGACCAAAGTTTGTATCTGCTCCTCAGCATCTTGGTTTATTTGTAACATACACATAAAATTTACGTGTCTCACTAGAAAAAGCTCAGCTGCTGTCACCCAGCAAGACAATAGGAAACAACCATTTTGTCCTCTGTGTTTGTTCACAACATTTTAAGAGATTCTCTTGGAGAAGCGTGCTATGCTTAGTCATGTTTTTCTCCTTTTAAGCCTAAACAATGGCAAAAAAACCCCAAACTTGTGCAAATGCAAAATACAGGTGCCAAAATATCGGAATCATATTTTACCAAAAAATTCCAGAACTGTTTCAAGCTTTAAAATGGATGCCTGCTGGGCTTGCAGAGACACATAAAGATAACTGTGAAATAAGTTTGCCTTTTTTTTCTTTTTTAAAAATGGACTTCTTGGCTTCCTCCCTCCTACATGCTTCCTTTCCCCGTTTCTCATTCCTAACTATTCAGTTTCTCCTCTCCCTTTTATGACAGCTGGCATCCTGACTATGAGCACTAATAGCTTAATTGAAGGGGCAGGACTGTCAAGCCGTCAGCAAAGATTTTCTTTACCCTAGATATTAGTTACTAGATTTTAAGAAAGTATTCACACAAAAATGCTATTCAAAAAATCTACAAAATTTAGAGTGACTACAAACCTCCCTCCATGTCTTCAACTACCAACATTCTTGGTACTTACAAAGTTACCATTTCACCAATTCCACCATTCTGAAACAGATGTTCAAGCCTAAATTAAATTCCTACTGTAAAAAGGGGTCTCACTCAGATGTCATCAATAAATTCCACTAGGGGGAAAAAAAGAAATTATTTTTCTTTGCCCTTTTTTTGCAAGTTAACCCACTCATTTTTTAAAGGTCCATTTCAAGGCAAATTATATAAGGATTCAATGCTTGTGGATCTAGTATGTTGAAAAGACTAAGTAGTGCTCAAGCTAGAAGCTCCTTTGGTAGGCTTAAGGAAAACAGAGAGTGCTGCTACCAGAGTATTCTCAGGAGGAGTCATTTGCTTTGAAATTCGGTCCGCCACTTTCTTTAGGACAAACCTACGATATATGCGGAAATGTTCATTCATTGCTCAACCTAGGTATAACGGTGCTGCAATATGATTTACATTTGTTGAAGATCAACTCTTTAAAGAAAATTACTAAAGATACTCTGAGCCTGGAATATTCCTGCATTTTGGAATATGCATATGAGAAATGTCACTAAACTCAATTATCATTTTACACATCAACTACTTCATTGTTGAGAAGAAAGAGCAAAGGGAAGGAGGCTTTCAAATTCCTACTTGCCTTTATTTAAAACAGTTATACTGGATCTCCAGATGACAGTATGTGAGCACTAACTAGAAGTTCTAGAAATGTAAAATTAAGTTAAACTTTGCCGTAAAAATGACTAAACATTCTAATATTTGGGCTGATGACCTAATATTGTTATTTCTTATGGTACGTATTCTGAACAGCTTTTGTCATCTAAGTCAACTGTTTCTGTAAACTGCTGTACTAAATCTATGGCGTATTTAACAAAAAAGTTAATTAGATCATTCTATAGCTATGCCACAATAACATAAAATACAACATACAAAATTAATGATATCTACAAATGGATTCCTTAAAAAACAAAATATATGTAAAAAAAATTTTTTTTTTGGCTTGATTCTCAGGAATGGAAAAGTCTTACAAAGGATTACTTGCAAATCAATTATTGTTTTATGCTTGAAGAGGAAATGGGTACAGTTAATGTTCACAAAAGTAAAACTTACTTTATCATTTCAAAAAGCTTTGGATCTGAGACCTTGATATTTCGAGCCATATTCCATGAAAGATGAACCATGGGTACTATGGACTTCACACTCTGCAGTTTATTCCACTCGTACCGTTCCACTGCCAATTTATATTGACAGGCTATACAAAAACAAAATTACAGAAGCAATTAGTCAAGGTAAGAAGTAAGTATCAACTGGAGCCAAAATAATTTGATTAAAATCAAAATGTATACCTTTTAGGGCTAGATTAAACTTCATTTGCAATGACTCAGTCATTCCAACTACACTGGAATTCTATAAAATTTCTTTTTAAAAGTGTATTTATGATGCTAAAAGAATGCACAATACCACAGCAGCAACAACTACCTGTGAAAACAAGTTACTGACAAGCATTCAATTTCTACAGTGAAGAGAGTGCAGTATTTCAAAAAGCGTTCCTTAATAAATTTTTCAAGTATTTCAGATTAAAAAAAAAAAATCTAAATTTGAAATGTCTGCGTCTCACTCTATTCACTCTTTATCATAATTTTACAATGTTGTGGTATATAATTTATCTTGGAAAGGAAGACTGCACCTTGAGAGGTTTGTTGCAATGAATCAGACTTTTTCATTAAGCAGCCTACTCACCCTGCCCCTTTTTAAAAAATGTTTTACAAAATTTACTGTGCCTGAACATGTGAGATCTGTGTCAGTCAATCATACAATCCTGGAAATATACTATTTATTGCATCATAATGAAATGAAGACCTTAAACTATTTAAGAAAACAGGATTTTTTTTGGAAGTACATTCTGTTCAAATGCTTGACACAATCTCATTTTAGCTGTGAAATTTCCTTCCATTCTCACTTCTAAAAACCTTCCAAGACCATTGTTCAAAACTAAAAACTTGTAGAATAGTAGGTCTGAAAAACCTAATATTCCTTTATGGACAAAATTTTACAACTGTTCGCATTTCCCAATGGTTTCACTGAAGAGCCATTAGTTGTGTTGAAAAAGTTAGAGTGGACAAGTCCTCAACTCATATGCAAGCTATAGCGCAGTCTGCTGGGTAGGAAGAATTGTGGTAGAAAAAGTTAAGAAATGGCCTATAAGACAGAGTGTATGAATTAATCTAAACATTTCATTCTGCTAGTGTTTGCTACACAATTGTAATATTTACAAGTCCATTCAATGGATGAGTGCAGAGACTGTGTTCTTGCTGTGTTCACTTCCTCTTACCAGTGGAATTATTTAAAGCTTCAACACATAATAAGTTTTAAAATACAGTACGTTCATTTTTTTTTTAATCTAGTAAAGCATGGTAAATTAGTAAGAAATGGCAGGTTCTGTGGCATATGTAGTATGTTACCTAATTACGTAGTTCAGCTCAGGCACTATTCAACCATACCTGTAAGAGGGCCAACATTCCAAGCAATGTTGTTGCACCAACCGATAGCCTGAACCCAATGAACAGTGCCAGCATTTATCCACACCAAATCCCCTGGTCTTTGAATAAACCTATAAACTGGGACATTGGCTTCATACAAATCTTCCAAGTTTGGCCACCAAGATCCCATTAGGAAATTCATATTATTCCTGAAACAATAGGAAAAATAGTCTTCAACATTTATCAGCAGACATGTTAGTGGTTGATACTTCAATGAAATTACCTGTAAAAACTCATCACCATGATAAATGCTTTCTGCATCTAATCAGTGACCCAGGAGGACTAGTCAAAAGGAAAGTTTCATGTATAAAACTCCTGATCCTAATTCCACATTTCACATCCTGCAATACGTTAAAACATTTAACCATCTGGCTGCCCATGCAAAGTCAGTTTATGGCTTCCAGTTATGTTCTATTTTCCTTTAAATTTCCCAGTATTTTATTAATGCTGAAGCAGAGAAATCCTTGGTCAGATGTAGTGTCACACTGGTGCTGAATACTGCTTTTTAACCAGTGACTGATTTTATATACAGAGCATATGAGCTTTTAAGAATGCTTTCTGTTTTGAACAATGCCAACCATGTACTTGTACTGTCAGTGTATGCATGTGAAGCTTGTCCACACAAGCAGCAACTGGTTGGCACCATCTCAACTGTGATCCACAGGTCTATGCTATATTCAGCCAAGAAATGTCAAATGCTGACCCTCCTGAGAAGCATGAAAACACACCACCATATGGATTTCTTAAGCATGAACTCTTCCACTATGGTTATGCAAAATACATACTTCTTTCCCATCCTTATCCCAATTTTATACCGCACCATGAGAGATCATTTGCAATTCACAGTTTTCAAAGACAACTGGATGCCTCTATCAGGCACTCTAGACATTTTGAGGTTACCAAGATCTTAGTTTCTCTGTCACACTCAGTAGGACAGTGTCATTGGGGTAAAAGGCATGTTGTCGTCAGACACACTGCAATTGCATCAGTGGAATTACAATTTTGAGATGGCTAATCCTTGTAAAGGCGGATAAAATAAAAACAGTTGTCAGTAGATAGGCAGAAAATACAGAGTACAGAGACACTGAGATGAACTTGCAGAGCTCTAGAAAAGTTCTGAAGTCAAGAGCTTAGTCCAGTTTTAACTGGGCAAGATAAGGAAAAAAGAAAAATTCCCCTGTAAGATCAACTTCAGAGGCCACCACCTGAATACTAACATGATTAGGGGACACAATTGCTCTTCCTCCTTTTTTTGGGGGGTGGGGTGGGGTGGTGGTGTGCGTCTGCATGTGTGTGTGTTTTTTCTTTGTTTTTAAAGTATCCACTCAACACAAGACATAACATAGAAACCCCAGTCTTAGAGCTGGCTAAGTACTTCCCCAAAGGTCAGTGCATCTCAACTGTTCCAGCAAGCTACAGACACGTAAATGTATGTAAAGCATGTTATGACACCTCCTGGGGTCATAGTAAACTAAGCTCTCCCTCTAGATGCAGCAAGAAACCATGCCAAAATACCAATGACTCTGTACTTGCTTGTGTACATGTACATTAATCACAATGAAGATTAACAGCATACATCCCCAGGAAAATATTTCACTCCACCATTCCTAAAAAAACAGAACAAAACCCCAACTCCTTCACCCCCAACTTTGTTTCGTCACTCCACTGCAATGGCCCTAGAAACCATTACAAAAACATCACCATTTGGTAATAGCAGAGGTCAGCTTTAATGTGCATGATAGAGTGCCTAGATAAACAGCAAGGACTATGACGGATTTTCTGATGTGGAAATGTTACTACTATGAAAACTGGATTGATGCCACATAATACACATTGGTAGCAGACAGCTATGCTTACACTAAACTTCTGATCCCCTTAACGTAGTATAAATTTGAATCTTGAGCCTAGATAAGCATTTGCTACTACCGATCTCTCACTTCTTGTATTTCCTTCATTCCTGTGTTCAGAAAAAAACAAATAATGGACCTAATACTAATTTTTGAGAGCAAAGCTATCACAGGCAATCCATGTTTATGTACATTGTACCAATGTCATATTTTGCATAAATTCTAGATTTTAAATTTTGACTGACTTTAGAAGACTTTTCTGACTACATGGAAAACCCACAAAATAATGGCCTCTTACAACACCCTCAGTAGTTTCCCCGCTTAGGTCTGAGAAAGGCACAGAGAATGTGATAAAAATAGAGAAAAACAGCACGCCCAGCTTACTTTTCACAGAAGTCATTCATGACACCCCAATAGCTTTCAGGGACAACAAACCATTCACAGTCACCTGGACCAATATTTATATTTACTGAACAAAAGTTGTTATTTTCTTGATGACCTGAAATTTAGAGAAAAATAAACACACTTTTTGTAAAGCTGATCTATCAACATAACGCTATGAAAATGCAAAGTTACAATTACTAAAAAACCCTATTTGTATTTGTACGTATTTTTATATGACAGTTACACTATTTAGGTGCTTCACAGTGTTAAGAAATGCAATTAAGCTATCAGTGACAAAAGAATTATGCTTTTGTTAGTTTGTGGAAAAGGAAAAGCTAGAACTACCAATCTTGCAAATCTGACCAATACTTCAGCAGCTCCCTTTTTGTAGAAATAAATGCTTCAAGATGCTAAAGCTTAGATTTTGTGTTTTATGATAGCTCTTGACAGTTCCAGTCAGGAGCAAAACTTCATGACTTCAGGCACTGAACAGACAAGAAGAAAGAAAATCTGTCCCAAAGAGCTTTCAAAATCAATGTAGAAATGCCAGTATTTTATCTTCTTTTGACAGCTGGAAAACTGAGCCATAATCCCTAATGGAATTATCTAAAGTTGTACTTCAGAAAAACAGACCCTGAAATTTAGTCCAGATCCCTCAAGTCTCAGTTCAGTGCCCTAACACAGCACTATTCATTACGAAGGGTTGAGTCCTATCCTCAGACAATAAAGAATCTAAAAAGTAAAAGTATACTGATTTCTACAATTGCACAAGACCTACTTTGGAAGCCTATAAAAACTTTCAAGCCATGTAAAATACAAATACTGTCCAAGTATATAAACCCATCCTCTTTTTCCCCTTAAAGAATCCAGTACTGAACACAAGAGGTTAGTATGGTAATTACCCAGCAATGCAGAAATCCAGAAAATTTCCTCTATAAGGTAATTTAGTGCTTCATACACGCACAGTTTAGTTCAAGAAGAAATTAAAAAAAAATACTGAATATGTATAGTTTTATCATGTTTAGGCATGCTGTAAGATATGGAAAACCTGCAGTGCAGTTAAATCAATACCACAGCAGTAGAACCTGTTTTTTTCATGCAAAGAGATTATACTCACCTGGTGTTCTGCTTCCTGGAACCTTCATGTACAACTGCACTGTGTTCATGCCCAGGATGGTATGACCAACATGGCTTAGAAGATTTCCTGCTG